TTACAGCCCCTATTAGTTTTTTCTTGCTAGTTATTTTTGGGAGCAAATTGAAAGTGAGCATATCTTAATTTCCTTTTAAATTTAGGCAAAACGAAGAAGTACCAAGAACTAATAAAAGTATAAAATTAGCAATACTGATGTGACACTCTGCATAACATCTATTTTCGGCACAGTCCGAAAGAGCGAATTTTGCCGTGCCCCAGACACTCTGCATAACATGGTTCTTACTACCACATAAAATCGTAATTTTTTTGAAAAATTCAAATATTATGATTTGCTCTCTAAGAACTTATGTATGTATTCTTTTTTAACATGGTTAACTTTTCATATATATCTATATATATATCTATATATTATATATCTATATATATTCAAATATATTCAAATATATATCTATATATATCTATATATATTCAAATATATATCTATATATATCTATATATATTTATATATATATCCAAATATATATCTATATATATCTATATATATCTATATATATTTATATATTTTTATACATCTCTATATATATGTAACATGATTCCTTTATTAATATGTATCTATATATCTAATATATCTATTTATATATATCTATATATATTTATCTATATGTATCTATATATATAACTATATATATCTATATATATATATATATATGATCAAAAAATAACGAGAATTTTAATTTTTTAAATTCCTGTGTTTATCCAATCGGTAAATATTTTTTATTTTCACGCTGGTAACATTATTATAGACATTCTGTCAAAGTTTAACGTATATCGTGCGATTAGTTTTTGTTTGGCATCTATACAAAAAATCAAAAAATTTCGTGTGGCAATTTTTACCTTATGGCCTCTATGGTCTCAAAACGCGTTCCTCGCAATGGCAATTTGAGTCGGGGGAAGAGGCAAAAGTCACACGGTGCCATATCTGGAGGGTACAGTGCTTGGTTGATGATATTGGTGGAGTTTTTGGCCAAAAACTGCAATGTAAATATTTATATGTATATATATATATATATATATTTAAAAATATCATTGTAAGGTACTATTTAAAAAAAAATGGTAATATATGCAATTTTGTGTTTATTTATTAATTGTGTTATATCCGATAACGGTTGCGATTTCATACGGATTTCATTTCTCTAAATATTGTTTATAACAGAATTTGCTATTTTGTTTTAATTAAATGCAACTATTTAGGATTAACCCAATTCCAGTTATAATCCAGCTGGTAGCGATTAACAATCCTTTACTGCACAGCTTATTTTTTTGAAAATAATATTCTCATGGAATGTGATAAATACAAAATTTAAAATATATTCCTGTGCTTGGATTGTAACAAATATAGTTCAACAATAGTTCAACAATAAATGGCATTAATTTAAATAAAATTACATAGGTTTATTGACATAATTAATGTTTTAACATATGCAATGATTGCGTGAGTAATATTAAATTTTGACGGTTTTTCTCTTTCTATAATTTGAAAAAAACATCCTTAATATTGGTAAATTTATCAATTAACTTAGGTGTATTCTGTTCTATAAAGTTAAAAAGCACTAATATACATACGTATATATACAGATACAGATTTCAAGCATTTAATTTTATTTTAGTAAACATATTAGTTCATTTGTGCCACTGTTATTTCCAAACTGTTTCGTTTATGTTTATTACCATTACCAGACGAAGACGAACGAAGTTAAAGCCACTGTAGTGAAGTAATGTTCAAGCTTGAATCGAAACGCTAAAGCCAACGTCTCTGGTTGTGTATTCATTTGTTTGTATTTGTGTTTTTAGTATTTTTGTAGTTTGAACTTGAGCTCTATACATAATTGGCTTGGTTCGGTATAGTACGCTGTATGGAGTCGTTGCATAATAATGTTACAGCATCAAATAGCTTTATATACATACACGAAAAAATAAGTATTGCATATTTAAATTGCTGAAAAAACTGTGCTGGTAACGTGCATACTTCGTTAAATAATATAGAGTTGCTATATTTGTTATTCGTACGAAGTTTTTAGTAATGTCTGAAATGAAAAGTTTTATTTTTTTGTTGTTTCTCTTAATTACTTATAAACTATGCAAAACAAAGAGGTGAATCAAAATATTTGGGAACATTGAATTTCGTAATTTCTTAAAAACTAATTTTTATATGTATGTGTGTATTTATAAATGTGCGCTTATTTGTCAGTGCCTAAAAAAGAAATATATATTAATTAATTTTACTATTAAATTCTACTTTTAAGCCAACTAGTGTTAACTAAATTTGCTTCTTAAATCTAGACCCTATCAATTTAATTATTGATATAATGATAGATGACATTCAAATAACTAGAATCTGCTTTTTGTGAGATCATCTGTTAACATACTGTGGAATTTTAATTCGTATAAATTGACACAACCACAAAAATTTTATAGATCTTAAATATCGTTCATGTAATAGTTTATTAAATACGGTTGAACATTCATTGATTTAGAAACAATGTAATAATGTTATATTTTTAGACCAATACATTGAAGTTTCGTTGGGTTTTATAAATCCGTAAACTGGGCGAAACTTTTAAAGCCCAAGAAAATTGTTTTACTTAAACGCAAAACAACAATTGATTTTACATTGTACATATAAATACTTTGAGTCCTTAATAAATGACTCACTTAACATATATGTTAAATAAATACATGCACATTTGTTTTACAAAAACAATTAATCACAGTTCATGTATAATCATTTTCAGCTACGAACTCCATCTAGTGTGGTCTTTAGCAAATAAAATAATTGCACTGATCTTAATCATTACATGCATAAATTCTTTCTTGGCTTTTTTATACTTGCGCTTAAACTTATCTTTTAAAATTTTTAACTTTTGCCTTTAAAAGAGTTTTTAAAAAGGAGTCTGCATCAATCGATTAAGTTTCAAAAGAATTTTCTTTCAGTTGATCTCTTAACATATTTGCATTTTCAAATGTGCATTTGATTTTATTCCAAAACTAACACAATAAATTTTTGTTTTATTTTAAAAAATTGTATAATCCTAAAAAAAAATTAGTTATTTCTTATTCAGTGCATCATGATCATATCATAACGTCATAAAGATTAATTTCCTCAACAGTGCCTTCGAACACCGTAACACTTTTAGATCTGTATTTTGTTATGTCCATAAGTCTTCGATATGGATCGATCCGTTTTAATTCGCTGGCTTTACGCAAACAAAACCGAGCACAGCTCATATATAGTCCGTAGACATCGGAATTCTATAAAATTGCATGTTCGGATTTTGACATATCTTCCGCATATTTTTTGCATATTTGGGCATGTTGTTCCACATTTTTGGCACAATAGAATATATTTTATACATATTGTATATTAGGTATAAATATGTATTGGACATATTTATGAACCCCTTGTTTTAGTTTTTGGAAAACTCAACCGTATTAAAATCTTGATTTATTTATATGTTGGTCTTTATTTAATCGCTATCTGCTTCCGAGCACATCACTATCCTGATGTATAGATCTTGTTGTGTCGTAAAATTTAAATTATGTTAAAAAAGCAAAAAGTATAAACGACTGTGTTTGCTGGTATAGTCTTATAACATTTCGTGAGGAATCAAATCCTTTCATGATCTTAAAAAAAATTGTTGAAATTTCCGGAATATATGATTTATTGAGTGATTAAATTTAGAGTGCGCAGTAAAAGGAAATTAAAATAAATTGTTGTTTTAGAACTTCTGTAGGACAATTAATTGGTATTTGAATTTCCTAGGAATATATTCATATATTTTTTATTCAATATTTTTTTAATTTGTGTAGAGGCATTTATTTTATTTTTTTGTTTATTAAAACTATCCCAGTGCATATCTCGATCAAAATTCTAAATTTTCCATTCCAAAAGCTAAAATATATTTTTCTTAAAAATAATTTTCAGTTTAAAGGTTCAAAAAATATATGTTTCAAATATTTTACACTAAACCAATTCCATACAAATATATGAATTTTGTAAAAAAATTATGTAAAAACACATTTTTTAAAAAGTCATTTTGTGCATTTGCGTATAATTTACATATGCAATTTATATAGAATTCCGATGTCTAATAATCATTAAGATTAATCATCTAAAATAAATTTATTGTATTTAGGGCTATTCTAATAAGTTTATAATTTTTAATTTTACCCTAATTGCTTTATTTGTTTTTATACTATATTTTTCTCAGCTTATACGGTCGCAAAGGTATACAAATATTGAGAAAAAATTAATGACAGTAAATATATCATTGTTTTATTTTTCAAATACATCTTTTCGTTCAAATTATTAAATATACACATAATGATTTAATCAGTAATAAGAAACATCGAAAATCATCTCTTTTAAACAATTTTTAAAATGGATACATCTGCTTTGGCAGATCTTAAACATATTACATAAGATAGTTTACATATTGCTAAGTCGACCCTGTTGTAACATGTAACTCAAAACATAGCAAGCAAAAATCAAAAATTGATTGAATATTTATAGTAAGAAATAATTTATGCCTTACATAACATAATTTGGGTACCGCTTACCACTACCGATCGATTTTACTATAATATTTGTTTTTGGTGTATCAAGTCTAATAACTTTGAAAAAGTTAATTGCATCTGCAAATTTTTATGTTAGGTGATAATTTAGTATTTAATTGAAATTAATGCTATATAAGTAAATCACATACGATACTGAACTGTTTCTAAACTATTCATGAGAATAAAGACGTATTTCAAATGAGACTAAATGAGACTAAAGTATTGCCTCGTCCAATATCATATTAATAAAGTTACATTTTATTTTATATAATTATGGTAATACACATTATAATTTTTTTATTACTTTAATAAACAAAATAACACTATGTAGTATTTTTACAATCAAAAGAAATGCATATTTATATTTTCGATATAATTAAAAAACTGTAATTACCAAAAAAGATTTAATTTTTTATGTAATTTATTAATTTATAATTTCAGAATAAATTAAGTGATAAAAACCAGATTTACTCAAGAACGGCGGATGTTGTTAACATGCAGGAATTTTTTGATAAAAAAAAAACTGATAAAGCATTAGATCTTAAGGATAATTTTGAGCTCATTAATTTTCAAGAAAACGATCAATATCGTTATCACAACCCATTAACTCGCACAATTTCACAACCACAACCACAACCTGACACAAATATTCTGTCATATAAAGCACAAAACATTAAATCTGCTGTTTCTTCAATAATTGAAAACTTTGATGGAATAAATTTACACCGTAAGCTCGAGAGAACGCAGTCAGAACCATTGCCTCAACAAGTGAATGCTTCCAGGTAAAAAATATATTTTAAAATGAAGTTTTTATTGTAACGTTGTTCCAACTTCGATATCTGTTTAATAAGTCGGTGATAATTCCATTAAAACAAAATAATTTTTTTTTTGAATTTACCAATATTTAAATTAATTCTTCGATATGGAAGTTTTTTTTTTGTTTAGGTAACTGTTTAGCACATTCAAGCAAACAAATTATTTTTAACAAATACAAAGAATAAAGAATTTTTTTGAAAAAAAGCTGGAGATTGTGAACGCGATTTGACAAGAATTTTGGAAATTTTTAGTAGAATAAATAATTTTTTTCACTACCACCACATGCTGATATAGCATCATTTTTCAGATGTCCGGCTTTCAAATTCCAGATGTTTAGCGACGACAACTAGTTTATACTATTTTTACATTGACTGTTCAACCAATGATTACAACAAGTAGACATGCCCGATGACTCTAAGATATATATGTATAAATTTACAACCCGATATCTGCTAAATTTATCCACATATGGAACACGAAAAAAATACTAAGAATACTAAAATACTGAGCTAAATATGTTGTCCAGGAAATAAGAATCCTCTCATAAAAAAACACTTCTTAGAAATAATTTGAGAAGAAATATGAAAACTGCAGGATCATTTGGGATGAAAGAGCAAAATTGACGCCAAGTTTACTCACTGTTTATAAAAAAAGTACATTTTTCAAATGATGTTTGCAACTTTTTTAGCGTAATCCAAAAATTTTTACTTACATTTATAAATGAATTACCACTCATCTACTGTAGAAACGCAAATTCTGTTGTGATCATATTCCAAGATAAGCGAAGACTGGACGCCGTCTTCGGAAAATATTACAGCTTCTGCTTTTCAGATACATGTCATAATTCTTATTGACTATTTGGAAAATGTGTACTACTGACAATATACCCAATACTGTTTGACAATTTGTCTTGAAATGAAGAAGAAACTGCAGCGCGACAGTTCGTTTATCAGTAATTGCAACAG